AAAATCTTGTATACATATTTTTATTAATCAAATTAAAAATATGAGAAAAAAAATTGGATAATTATATTAATATTATACTTTTCAAATCTAAGAGTGTATAATAAGTTATTAACTTTACTCGATAGAAATCTTAAATGTACGAAAGCTTTGAATACAGAATTATCTCTCTCTATCTCTCTCTCTCTCTCTTTCCTTTTTCTCTTTCTCTCTCTTAGTCCCTTAATCTTTCTCATTCTCGTTTTCTCGCTAACTGAGAGAAACAGTAGATGTTTGGAAGCTGATAATAATATTCGCGAATGATAATGATGCTAGGATAATTAAAGTAAAAGAAGATCTTTTACTGTCTTACCGTTTAAAGATAAGCTATTAACGTTGAGAAAAGATATTTCTTTTTTTAAATAATTTGTCAAGTTTTATACGAAATGATTTAAACGACAAATAAAAATAATATGAAATATTGTATTCCTACGATAATAGTAATAATAATAATTACAATTTAATTGTGGATCGATTGGAAAAAAAATAAGTTTAATTTTTTGTCTATAAATGTTTTCACACAAATAAATTTTTTAATATTTTATACAAGAAACCTTCTATATACTCGTCAAAGAAATGTAATAAAAGAAAGTGATCCCTTTTAAAAAATAAACATTAAAAAAGAAAAATGAAAGAAAGATCTGAGAGAGAATGAATGTGCTTCTTATCGATTATTCCATGAATTTTTTTTGTATTTCATTGATGTGAGACGTGCTAACGCTTAATTAAGTCTCATATGATCTCTTTAGACTAAATTTAATTCGATTCTTTAATTAATATGTGTGTGTGCATCTTGCATATATATATATATATAAAACATTTACTATATCGATATCGTTTTTTTTTCTTTTTTTTGTAATAATTATAGATATTAATTTTTATATTTTTATTTCCTAATTTAAAAAATTCAATATATATCATAAAAATCGTTCGTACCAATTTTTTTCTTTTTCGTTTTATTTTTATCGACTTTGAAATTCATAGAAAAAATTAACGCGAGATTTGATCGAAAATATGAGAATCTAAGTTTTATTCAATTTTTAATAATTATTGACGAATATTTATATAATAATATTTTTCTAATGAATTATTTTATTTAAAGAATATTGAACAAAATTATTTCACGAACGTTCATATTCGTAACACGTCTCCCTCTCTCTCTCTCTTTCTTTTTATTTTTTCTTTTCTAGCTTTGTGTGTTTCCTATTTCATTTTATAGTTATTTGGGAAAATATGTAAATTTCATATTAACATATTTTATTTATTTCCGTCTTCTTATATTCGTGTGTGATCATATTTTATAAATCAAAAAAATCCTATTTACTCTTTTATATGAGATAATAATAAATTTTTGTTTACAAATGACGCGATCATGTTCCCTTATTTAATATTAATGTAAAAAAGATATGAATATTATATTAAAATTTGATTGAGACTAATAAAAATAAATGAAGCGTTTAGAAATATGATAAATATCTGTTTATATCTGTCAGGTTTTTTTATAATATCGTAGTGTCGAAATAACAAGGAATAAAAATTGTAGAAAAATGTTAATGCATACGATTGATTATATATATTTCTTATTCAAAATCTATATACATCTTGAGATGTTACGTGCATCAATATATATATTAGATACTTACGTAAATGTGCATTAATGCGTTAAAAACATGAATAATAAATAAAATTTAGAATAGACGATTTCAAGGATTTTGTTTGTTCGCGCAAATAACAAGAGAGAAATAAGAAAAATTAAATAAAAGGACAAATTAAGTAAAAAATGTTAAAATCTAATTAACAATAAGAGTTAAGTGGAAGAGAAAAAGTCAGCTTAATTTTACGAATGAAAATACGATTTGTCCAGGTTCTTTTGCATGTGTATGTTATTTTGTTTGTTTTTCTTCTATGGATAAGAAGATTGATTGTGACTTTGTGTAAGATTTTATTTCATCTGATTAAAAGTTATCGAAACAATTTTCATTAGAAACTTGATTCTTCGCGATTCCTTTTAGTATGTGTTACTTTCAAACTTTTTCTACGCGCAATTTTAAAACTATGTCGATTAGACATTATGATCCTCCTGTCAGCTGGCAGTTGGTTCTTTTTAAAAATGTTCCTTCTTTTTTTTTTTTTTTTTTTTTTTCGTAAATTAACTCGTTATTTTCTATTTTTTTTTTTTTTTTTCTATTATCGAAAAAATTCATATCAGATCAGAGAAAAAAACAATCAAAGATAAAAGTAATGGAAAATATTATTTACTACGAGACGAATATTTTATTGTTAAATAAAAATATTGTTGATATATAATATATTAATGTAGGTCAATATAATTTTTTAATGAAAGTTGCAAGGAGATTTATTTTCTCATACGACTTTGCCGGAAAAAAATATTATCTTGATTGAAATTTAAAAACAAAAAAAAAATTGTTTTCCAAAGTTCTTTTTTATTTGCGAATAACGTGCACTCTAAAGGAATTCCTTTGTCAGCTTATAAGCTGTAATGCATATTATCCGTTATCTTCAAAAACACGAGAGAGAAATAAAAAAAACAACACTAATCCGACGTTTTTCATTATGTTTTAAATCATTTTTCTTTTTTCTTTTTTCTTTCGGTTTCTATTATAATAATATGTCCATGTAATTATCTCGATAAAAAATATGAAAATATGATTTTACCTTTTTTAAAAGGAAGTCGAGAATTGTTCATATTTCAAGAACGTAACATCGTTTCTTGTGTATGAGCTATCACGAAATACGTAATCCTATTAAAATCTCCTATTGTTCGTGACGTTTTTCACAATAGAACGAACAATTGTTAAATATTTAATTTAGCGGAAACAAATCCTATAAAATTCGATATTTTATATATATACCAGAAATAAAATTAATACTTATAATATAATAATTCTTATTGTCAGAATTATATATAGTATATTATCAATATTATATCTATGATGTAATTTATTTAACACAATAAAAGAAAATAATGATCACTGGTAGAAGCCAAACAATGTATAATCAAATTAATTAGGTCATCTATAATAATTAAAAAAGAAAGGAACAAGCATTATTCTCATTCTAATAGAGAAATTGAATTTCATATATATATATATATATGTGTGTATCCATAAATGCGTACGTCACTTTGTGCACATTTCTCTAACTCGTAGTTAGAAAGTTCAAACGTTGGATG